GTCACTGGATGCCCCGAGGACTTGTCTCAGTCTGAGTCTGAAGGACTTCTGATTGCAGTTGTGCTGCTTGATGTACAGTGTGTAGATGTTAACACGTTAGTGTAAACCTAACTTCAGCCATTTAATTATGGCCTTGTAGCCATATCAGTCAACACCATGGGGTCACTTGAGATCAGGATTCAGAGAGGTTCATTCCCCTTTTTCTCTGCTGGTCTCAGGGAGCACAGGATATGCTGTGCTATTGCCTTGCTGTGGAGACAACTGTGATTTTCATACAGTGTAATCATGTAGTAGCAATGACCCAAACCACAGTGGATTTCCAGAATACTGTGACTAGATCAGACTGCTTGATTTGTTCAGGTCTCAGCCAGCATTATATTGAAACTGCTTGTTACTGATGTTTATGGAAAAAAATTACTTTAACCCAAATAGTGATGAAGATATTTTATTTACAGGGTTACCACTTTGGCTTTTTTAATATCTGTGCCTATATATTGAATTTTTTTTTAAAAAGTCTACTTTCTACAAAATGATTTGATAAGCCGTTGAAGAAGTAAAAAAAACCAAACCCAAACCAAACAAAAACCTCTTGATAGGAAAGGCAAATTGTGTGATACTTCAGATTGCAGCAAGTTTGCYTTTCTTGCAGAAAGTAATGAAGAATTTCTTATGTAGAAGGGGTTTTGCTTGGCTTTTTAAAGCATACAGTTGAGTTTATATTCCTTGCTTGAGTTAACTCTGACAAAGGAAATTGCTCTTGGTCTGTGTAATTTGATGGGACATCAAAGCAAATGCATTGTTACTATGTTGTCAAGGTACCAGAAAATTAAAGTTTCTTTATGTGCTGCACTTTGTGCTTGTTTTTCAGTTAAATTTACTTTGAATTTTCCTGGTTATTAGGCAACTCCTAATTTCAGTTTGTGACTCCAGAGGTACACCTTGGTAGTGAACAAGAAGAGTGACGGAACAGGAAATAACTAACAKTGTGCCTAAAATGCAAACATAAGAAGTAGCAGGAACTTTGCTGAAAAGCCATTGAGCATGACTTGCTTTATGAACTCCCAGACTATGTTTTTGGGTAGTTGAAAAACAAAACTGTACGTCTGCTCTTAAGTATAATCATATTCCAAAAGGTTTTCCATTACATTTCTCCAGTTAAATGAATTTCCAAGAGTATGTTTTACAGACTTTCTATTTCTACWCAGGTGTTCTGCAGGTGGTTCAGGTAGTGGCTGTGTCCTTGGCTGTGCAGCCTTGGAGATTTGCTGAAGTGATCTTTCTAAAYGCTCTTTGGAAAAATTGTCAGTTTCTGTCCTGTCCTTTTGAGYTTTTCCCTACCATRCCATGGATGAAACRCATCTCATTCTTTCTGTTCTSTTYTGAGGCATGTCTAACAKGTAATCACAATAATTCCCATAAAGGAAATCATAATATTACTAATTTTTAGTGGGTTGAGCTATCATAAATGCCCTAATRATTGAATAGTACAGAATGGATTAATGTAAAAACACTATTTCAATAACTTTCAATTGAAGGACCTTAATAGAAGGAACTTAAAGATGAACTTGGAAAAAGACAAAACAGATTTTGCAAGACAATAATAGAGCTTTTTCTAAAACTTCCTTTTTTTGAATTACATTTTAGGTCACAGTACTTTCTCATGCTCTTCTCCCTTCTCTTTGTGCGAGTACCTTCAAAAAGTTTTTGGGTAAGAGACTTAATGAACAGGAGTCATGAGAAGTTGTCTGGAGATACTGCTAATATTTGGCTGTCTGTAGTATTATTTCAGCTAGATGTGCATGGAGATGCAAAATCTGCTCTGGTATTTGCCCTCAAAATAAGCAGGGAATATAAAGGAAGGAGAGAAAGAACCTTGGCATAGAGATTTCTGTTGGAGCTTCTTCTGTGAGCTGCCATGTTTTGATACAGCTTCTGAATCATCTTCAGTTTATGGCAGTGTTTCACAACCYGTGTTCCCCTTGTGAAGAAATTATTGAAACTTGGCCCAAGTAATCCATTTAGCAAGTTAGTTGCAGGAGAAGGATATTAGTTGTTTTAAGCTTATCTGGGTACTAACACTGAGATTGTTTTATATTAAAATGAAGTGTTGGCATTATATGAATTAGTTTTTCTGATTTCCACCCTCGTCTGCCCCCCCCTCCCCCCATTCCTCTTTCCTCTTTGCAATTAATTGCTGGATGTCTAGCTGAATTGAGCAATAGTAGAGGGGTAATTACAGCACTTGGCTGATATATTTCCTGGTGTCTGTGCCAAGGCCTGCATGATCACTTTGTCATGGSATCACGGGTTATAAGTTTCCTTCCCTTTTGATCCTGGAACTCCACGTGGTGTGTGAAAGAGCAGTGAGAACAGCTTGGAGGCCATCCCTCAATGCTTCTGTGTGAGCAGATTCGCATGGGGAAGCAGGATTTCTTAAATCATCAAAGTGTTAATTGTGAACCAGTTTTGACAGCCTGTCCTTTTATATTGCTTTGTGATGGAAGCTGGAATTTGCAGGGGCAAGYCTTTGGTTAGTGGCTGAAGCTCATCTCTGGATGAGGTAGGGCAAGTGATTTCCGTGGATGCTGGAAGAGCTGCTGGATGCCAAAGARTTGTCTTAGCCCTGAAGGTTACCCAACACTGCAATACAGCTGTTTACAGCCTGAACCTTTAATTAAAGTAGAACTTGGCATCAAAAGTTTTTGAAAGTTACTTGTCCCTGCTGAACTGCATTAAATGGGTGCCTGGAAATGACTGGCATCATGCAAGCAACAGTTTTTTTTACGGGATGCTCTCAAACTCTTTGTGTGTACAATAAATGATACTCAGTGGTCTCATATTAAAATGAACCTTGGGTATTTTATTCCTGTTTATTTTCTCCCCACTTCTCTCAGGTGTGCTTATTCTAATCCTAGTATTCCTCTTTTAGGTTGTCCTCTCTATCGCTTCTTCAAAAATGCAAAATTGTGTTTATGASTTGTATTATTAGCTACTGCTTTCCAAGGCCGCCTTTTTAAATACTGAAATTCTCATTCTTTAATAATGCAAAATAATATTATCAGTGTTGTCACAAAATTAATTACTTCAGGCTTCTCAGAATTTAGTGTATTCCATGTATATTCATATATGGGTGTCAGACTTTAAACATTTTGTACCAGTCTTCCTTAATGAGTAGCTTTAGCAGAGTAATACAGAGAGCTGGTTAGGTCTGGGAAAGAAAGCACTGACACACTTGATTATTTCCCCTCGAATACCTTAAGCTTAAAGAAGTTGAAATAAAAAATCATTAATTCTGGTGCAAGGTTCTTCCTGCCTAGGGTCATTACAAACTTCCTAGAGGAAGCAGGTTACAGTATATATTTGCAACCAATTTGTATAGTAGGATTGACCATTTAATTGGGTCAAATTGCTTGTTACAGCTTTGCTGAGCAAATAGCTGCAGACAGGTAGAGGCTGTGGAAGAAGCAGGGTGACTGGAAGCCCACCACAGGCTGCATTACTGCAATGCCAGATCTATTTCCTACAGAAAAATACCATTGGACACTTTTCTCCATTTCCCTGTTTATCATGTGTAGCTGTATTTTGATATTTCAGTATCTTAAGCCTAGATCTAGTGATCATAAGGCATGCCTCAAATTTTTTATGGTACATCTAAATTCAGTTGTATAATTAATGCTGTAATTATTACAGTTATCTCTTTTATTAGCATAGAAAATAACCTAATGTGTTTATATTTAATTAAGTGCTTTTRTTTGCCTAATATTTATTCATTAATGTAGATTTTGAAATGAGATTTGCTTTTCTTTACTATTTCTGCTGGAAAACTGAATATGAATAGAGAGTAGCTGGAGGAACACAGACTTGGGTGATCTAGTGCACCATGAAGAAGAAAAATACTAAAATTCTGAATGTGGTYGTCCCATTACTGGGAAGAAGTTTGTCTTGCATTTTGTGCTGGTGAAAGTGAATATCCAGTAGTTGCTGAGATATTGAGTGATATGGTAAAGCACCACTTTATTACTTCAAAGCTCTCTGCTTTGTTCTGCACTGGTCAGGCACTCCAGTTTGTCAGGTGATTTAGCAGATGGTTTTGAGACAGGCATGTCAGCATTTGGGGAATGAGTTTTTTGTGTGCTGTGCATCTTCTTCTGTCTCTTTTCCCGATGTGCATGTTTTCATTAGCGCAGGAGGTGTCATGCTCAAGGTTGTTCAAGAGCAGCCTGTATTGCTTTTATGACCAACAATAGTGAAATCCCATCTCTGGCAAGCAGGTTCTTACATGTTGGGTTTAGACACCAAGTTCACAATTTTTTATGGTGTTTTTGAAACAGTCAGAACCAACTATGAGGTGTGAATGCTTGAAAACCTGCATAGAACTGAATTTTTTCCTTCCTGGCATCCTTGTGCTCTGGGAAGCCACAAACCAATGCAATTCTTTGTTGGTACTACAGTCTCTCCTTCACTGCTATATGCATAACAGCTCAAAMCACGCATTTGGTACCTCATTTCTAAGAGAGTTTTAAAATACTAGGTTTTTGTGTTTTAAACATTCAGTCCTTGTTACCTAGACTATATGGATAAGTGGGAACTGCTGCTGCTGCTGAAATGTTGGGGAGAAGCTCAGGTTTATGTTGTAGTATTCTGCTTGGCCCTTTCTTAGAGCCATGTATTTGACTTRATTGGGCTTTGGATCAGGGTACTTCCAATTAAGAACAAACCACATAATTGACTTGCAGAGTTAAATTTCTGAAGCAGGTTTCCTCAAGCTTCTGTTCTGTTTCTAGATGAAAGGATTTGGAGGCAAGCTGAAGTACTTCAAATGTATGCAATAGAAATAAGTAAACATTAGGTATAAGAATTAAAAAAYAAAAAAATCAATTAATCTCATAATTGACTGTGCCAGGCAATATGATGTGTGGAAATATGACTCTGGATAACTGTGATATGTTTTATTTAATGTGCTCAAATTTTTTTTTTGGTTGTTTTTGKTTTTTTTTCAGGGAGAAAGACCTTAATGCAAAGTTTATTATTTCAATGGAAAAAAATGAAACAACAATCACAAACTTAAAGGTGAGTAATACAATTTAAAAAAGGAAGCTGTAACTAAATAGCTACCAAAATATGATTGGACAAAAGAGTGATGCTTGCTGCAGTGTGGACAGCAGCCCTTAGTGGTTAAAATACAGTGTTAAAGTAATGCTTTGGGGAAACAGATTACACTGTTAACCTGCTGCAACGTGGTTTTCTGAAGACCACTCTATAGGTTCTATCTCATAATTTCTTCAAAGGTTTATCACAGGTCATTACTTAACTGGAAGATGAAAGCCAACAATAGCATAGAGGTATGTTCTTGATAGCTATTAAGTCTTTGTTTGATCTGTTGAAGTCTTCTGGAATCCCTGTGAAAATGAACCAAACCCAAAGTACTCATCCCTTGCTCTAACATTTTGATGGTATGTTTTAGCATTTCTCTCAGCAAGACAAGCCACATGCAGCAAATTGGTTTTTGCAAGATAGTTTCCCATGGCTAATACATGAAAAGGAGTTTCAGTGTGTACTTTGTTCAGACTGATTTGGAGCATGATTAGTATTGCTGAAGTACAGTGTCAACTGCCATGTCTTGAACAGGATGATTGCCTTAAACAGCATTTATGTCACACCTTTTTAATTATGACTCCACGTTGAAGTGCTGTACATGGTGCAAAGGTCTCTGTGGCTCCTATAAATTATACGTGTAGCATAATCCCTGATTATAATAATGTCATATATGGACCCATTTAAATAAACCTAAGTATTGTGACAAAAATGTGCTGTGAGGTTAGGAGCAGYAAGCTAAAACCTAAATAATTCCTGCTGTGCTGCTTTGTGATGTGCCTGTGTTTCTTGCTGAAGGGCATACTTGTTCTGAATTTTGTCAGTGTTGTTGGAATAATTGTCTGASCTGTCATTATACATTTCTAAATGTGTATAATTTTATATTAAATTTGCGTTCTGATTATTTATTTCTGATTATTTATTGTCAAATATTTTAAATGACTTCATCAGGATGTGCTGTACAGCTCTATTTTCCTGTTTTAATAGATCCCAGAGGGTGCTACTGGAGACACGGGACGAGAAAGAACAAAGACATTTACCTATGATTTTTCCTATTTCTCAGCAGACAGTAAAAGTCCCAGCTTTGTTTGTCAAGAAATGGTAGGATTTCTGAATGTTAATAATYGATCTTTTTCCTTTCCCTTTGCTTTGTCTTGAAAGCATTCTATGAAACTTATTTCCATTGAAGGCATGTTTGAGGATTAGTGATGAAAGAAATTACMCAGCACTTCTACCAGGGTGATGCTGTGTGATTATGCTGTGTGTGTGTCATTCACTTTTAAAAATGGCTTGTATGCTTTGGTGAATTTAAACCACATAAAGTGCAGACAAGTGGCCAAACTATGTGAAGCATTTATGAGATTTTTGAAAATCATGTCTAGATGGTGAAACACAGATTAATATTTTAATTGAGAGAAATGCTGCACCAAGTGTTACTCCTTGCCCAGTAAGGGATATGGATTGAAATGAGGGATAATGGAGTCAGGAAAATCTGACTGGAGCCAGTATTATGGAGGAAGGTGATAAAGGCATCTGGTGAGAGCTGAATTTATTAGGTGATAACAGAGTCCCATATTATGAGATGTGAAGGAGGAATCATTGCTATGTTGTTTACCCTCAACATACCTCAACAAGGTATGTTGAGGGTAAAAGAGAAGGGGTTAGCTGATGAAAGAGGGTCACTTACCACACTAAAAGCAAGTTTCCATGTTTGCCAGCCTAAAAAATGTATTGCTATATGAAAACCACTTAGGGGGAAAATACAGGGAAGATTATGGGTCAAGTTCTTACAGTTGGTTAAAGCAAAAACCAAAAAAACAATCAACCAAAACCTTCCAAAAAGACAAAGGGAGAAACTGACAGGATCACKGAAATGTTTSMTTTTGAGAGGGGACTGAATATTTGYAGAATGTGGAGAGTTGGCRAAGATACAAAAAGTGARTARATATTAACARTAAAGAAAAGTGAATGGAATAGCTGAGATTGCTGAAAGAAATTTGGGCTTTGGAAAAGAAGGCAGCATTTTTACATGTCAAGTATTATGTGACAGAGAAAGAAGTGAAAAAGAAACCACTGCAGTGCTGTAAATGAARTATGGTAGTAAGATTTAGTATTTTATTTGAAGTATTAATTTCCTCTCCTATGGTGAATATCAGTGGATTTTGCCATTGTATTGTGATATTCTTCAATATTTGCCATGCTGGGCTAATAATTTTTTTCCCAAGCTTCTGTTGACTTTTTTTTWAWTTTTWRWTTTTTTTWAAATTTTTTTTTTAGGTTTTCAARAATCTTGGTACAGATGTGCTTAAATCTGCTTTTGAAGGTTATAACGCCTGTGTTTTTGCATATGGACAGACAGGATCTGGCAAGTCCTACACCATGATGGGAAATGCGGTATGTTGTRTTTTCACASAACCATAGAATACCARGTGGGAAGGGGGCTCAAGGATYATCTGGTCCAACTTTCTTGACAAAAGGATGGTTGAGAGGGCCCAGCACCCTGTTCAGATGAATCTTACAAATGTCCATTGTTGGGGAATCCWCCACTCACCTGGAGTTGTTATTCCAATCACTGATTGTTCTCATGAAAATGGTCCTCTTGTATCCAGTCATATTCTCTGCAGGAATAATTTGTATCTATTACCACTGGTCTTTTACATATGACTCGTAGTCTCCACCCTCTCTGCAGTCACTTGTTAAATACTGGAACACGGTTATCAGGTCTTCTTTAAGCCTTTTATTTTCAAGGCTGAGCAAATCCAACTCTCTCTGCCTTTCCTCACATGGCAGCTTCCCAATCCTCTGRTCACCCTTGTGTCCCTTATCTGGACCCTCTCCAGCCTGTCCACATCTTTTTTGTATGGCAGAGACCAAAACTGAATGCAGTATTTCAGGTCTCACAAGTGCTGAGTAGAGTGAGATAATGACTTCTTTATCTCTGCCCTGGTTGTTATGATGCGCTTGGTGATGGAACCCAGGATTCTGTTGGCTCTCTTTGCCATGCTGTTCACTCATATGGTGCTTGCTGTCCACAGCAAGGACCCCCAGGTCCCTTTCCACAGAGCTGCTCCCCAGCCAGACAGATCCCAGCCTTTGCTGTGCTCCTGGATTATGTTTTCCCATGTGCAAGACCTTGTATTTTTCATTATTGAACTTCATAAGGTTCTTGTCAGCYCATCATTTCAGTTTATCCAGGTATTCCTGCAGGATGTCTCTCGACTTCCCCACTTGGTTTGGTGTCCTCTAATACAAACTTAGTTGTGGTACACTTGATCCCATAATCCATGTCACTTATGAAGATATTTAATAGCATAGGGTGCAGTGTTGATTCCTGGAGATCCCACTTGTAGCTGGTCACCAATTTGACAAGGGTCTGTTTGCCATCACCCTCTGAGCACAGCCTGTAAGCCAGTTCCCACCCACCACACAGACCCCTTGTCTAGACCATAACACATTAGTTCCTTTAGCAGCAGGCTGTGGGAMTCAATGTTGAAAGCCTTGGAGAATTCCATGTAGACAATGTCCACTTCTTGTGCCACATCAGGTGAGCAGGTGTATTTTTTTGTTGCGATGGATTAAAATGATGCTGTTGCAGGAGCGTGTTTTATAGAATTTTTAATACTACCTTCTGGTAGTAATCAGAGGTTTTGGAAGCTGTTTCTTTTATAGAAAGACATTTGCAGTTAGAAGAAGTTTAGGCGATGCTCTGTTATTTTGGACGAAATCCAGTAATTTTTGTTCAATAACAAAGCTGAAAATTTAAAATATTACTACTGATTTTCTATGCCCAACTCGAGACAAGAAKAAAGAAGATACTGATTTTGATAAAATTATAATCTTTTTTTCTGAAGAGGTGTGCTTTTTAAACCTCTTTTGAAGAGTCAGAATACTAAAATATGTCCTTAGAGTAGGCTGTCGGGTGAGAAGCAGAAATTGGGCATGAGAGTAGTTCATCAAACCCTTATGAGATTACACAGCAAACTTAATTTTAAGAATTATGTCCTATTGAGGCCTGCAGGAAGAAGAAGATGTGATAGGAGGTATTTGGCAGTTTGTGAGTAAAGGATGGGAGTGGTTTCTTGCAGTTGCCTCCATGTTTGTCCAAGGACAGAGAGAACCTGCTAAACTGTTGGGAGTGGAGCAGTTTGGAAAGGCTGACTGATGAAGTCTGTTTGCCAGGCWCCCTCTGCCAGTTTCATTCTTTAATCCTTGGGAAAAGAAAGATACTGTGTCTTCTCCCAGTAGAAATGAAAAGGGGAAAATTACTGCTTGTCCTTCCTTAGATAGATAACTCTTCTGAAATGTTGTAAGATTGGGCTCTTTGCACCTCCTCTAACTTAGGAGAGTAAATTAGCTGTAAATCTTGTTCTTTCAGTTGTCACAAAATAAGTAGCTTTATATTYAACTTAATATCATAAGCAGAATAGACTTTTGTAACCAGAAAAGATCTCATGACCTAGATGTGGATTTCTATTTCAGAAGTTTCTAAAAGTGACATTTTTATGAGACTACGTCACTGTATRTAATGACTATAATCATCAAAATAGTTTACAAATTAATAGATGCTGAAATTTGATTGACACTATTCAATAATAAAGGTCTAATCTTCTTGCCAAGGTACATAAATAYTTCAATCTGGCTTTGTATGGGGTACATATAAAATATACTCAGCTGGCAAGTTAAATGCTTCAAAATTGATGGTCCTGTCAGAGAAACTACAGTGCTATAAGAAAACTTGAATTGGAAATAAATCTTTTTTTCCCTACTTCTCTTTTAAGAGCCTGGGTTCTATTCTCATTTTGTTTTCAGTATCTGTTGTTCTTGTCCCTGGACAAGAATTGCTTCTTCTGCAATTCTTTGTGCAGCAATCATTTCACGAAATATGCAGGCTACAGATTTAAGTGTTGAGCAGAGATACTGAAATGAGCAGAGATCTACAAAATATGACAAAAGTCAGACTTGGGAACACAGAGAAAGCAGGACTGTGGGGGAATGAAAGTCTTCCAGGACCTGAAAGGTTGCTSCAGAAAGGAAAGAAATAATTGTTCCTTGTGGTCAAGATAGATGGGCAAACCCCAGTACATTTAAATTGCAATGAGGAGTTTTTCTGGTTAGACAGCACAGAAGGAGAACAGGCATTTTAGGAGAAAACTCAGCTGTGGAGTGAATCATCTATTTTGTTTCTTCTGATTTCCATGTCTGGAAACTCTATAGGCCAGAAAAAAACCAAAAGTTCAACTGTAGTTGCTTCTGCTCTGCAGTTGTTGGGGGTGAAAAGAGAGAAAATTGTTTAAATATAGAGTTTCCAATAAAGAGCGTACATTCTACTAGATGTACATTTTATTGATGTAATATTCTGGGAATTGTGTTCTTCCTTTCTAATCACTGTATTGCTGTTGTTGAAGTTACTCAATTAGAACATGTATTTCCTATTTTAAGCCTCTTTTTGTGGCTGCAGAATTATGTCGGACACTAATAATTTGCCTAAAACCTCATGATAAATATTCCATGTTTTTTTCCCTGAGCTTTAATTAAAAGTATTCAGGTGTTTCCAAGCATGAGATGAAAGAAAAGTATTTTCCCTCTTCCATTGTTTAAAAAAATTTAAAATAAAATGTGTGTGGGAATTTCTGACACTGATTCCTGAAATTTTACCTGGAAATAGATATTGATAATTGAAAGATAATTGGGAAWGACTGCTCCTCTAAAGAAAAAGCCTCAAAAAGAAGCCAGATTAATCTGCAAGTTTCTCCTGTAGGAGTTTTCTTTTTGTTTTTTTTTAACCCTAGGTGCAGTCATGTGAAGAACTAGGAATGATAGGTACAGAGAATAGATTATTATTTCAAGAATGAAGCTTGGTTTGAGAAAGATAGAGAGGCTTTGWTTAAGAGGAGGAAGAAGCTGGTCAAAGTACAAGGAAGAGGTGCTCAGAGGTGGCACCTGGAAAAAGAATGCTGTGACAGAGAATGCAGAGAGAAACTGAAGAGTGAGGACAGAGGGGCCAGTATGGGAGCAGACTCGAGTGAGCTTGGGCAAAAAGGGTGGCATTTTATGYAGTCCAAGTAGAAGAGAAGTCTTTGCCCATGGAGCACTCACTCTGACAGTTTCATGCAGGGGAGTCCACTTTGTGTTTTCCTGTTGCTGGTTATGTGTAGAATCCCACCAGGCAAACTGTTAGGTGCCTGTTGTGCCTGGGCTATATTCACATTGAGTGTTTGTTCTGATTTGTCCTAATTTGCAACCTGTTTGTCCTAATTTGCAACCTGCTTAATTGCGAAGTCCCTGACTCTAAACACAAAAGCATATCTTGCTGCAGTGTTGAATAGAGTTAGGATTAGACCATTGCATTGAATCTCTTGTGTGTTTTTAGAATGGAGACAAATTATAGCTGATAGACTGTTCTGTGAGCTGGTCCTGAGTCTGGAACTCTTAGCTTAGACCTGATCTGTACGTGTTTGTCATGTCCTGTTAGTCTTGGAGCTATGACTCTAGGGGAGTGTTAACTGCTCTCTCCCTGAAGCAGTGGGGAGATGTGCTCAGCAGGTAGTTGGTCACCTACCTTATCAGACTTGGAATGGGTTGGAATGGGGCAGCTGGGAGTGAGCAGCCCCTTGTCAGATGAGACCAGAGCTGTGTGGCACTCTGCTGCTCCTCTCTGCTGCTGGGGRAAATCCTCACCATAGCTTACTGCTTGGCTGGAGAGGGCTCTTCTGGAGCTATGAGGAAAGCTGCATGCTGTCTCTGGGTRTCTCAGTGGGATAGGTTTTATTCAGTTTGCTTTATTAAACCAACCAAGCACTTCATGCATAAAAAACCTCTTTATCTGCAGAGCCAGCATTCAGAAGTTAAATATCAAATTATTTTGGCTGGATTGTGGGATACAATGAATGTAGGTTTAATTTTGTCATTGTGTACTAATTTATTCAGAGGATCTGTACTTTTCAACACAGGAAGGACTGTGAGCTGGGGATTGAATGAGAATGTCCCATGGGTGCATGTGTATGGGTCTTGTCCTTTCTCTGCAGTTGTTTCCAAGTCTGCAGTGAAATGAGATAGAAACAGTTAAGATACTAGTGAGATGAGGCAATTCATGACTTCTCTGGGGAGCCAGTCTCTGCCTTAAGGTGTTGGGATTATTCAAATTGAATGAGAGGGGCAAAATGTATCCCAATAGCAAAGAAATGAAGCTGGTTGTACATCTCACATACAAAAGGGTTAAAGTGCCAAGTTTACTATAGTTAAATAAAGACCAAGAGAGTATTTGCTGAAAATTTTTGATTTTTTCCCCTTTCTGGATTCTGAAACTCTCCACTAGTCATCTAGGGTTTTATTTTTCAAAATATATTGTGCAGGCGTATATAATCTGGAATTAAGAATTGTTGTTATTGCAGGGTGATGCAGGTTTGATACCTCGAATTTGTGAAGGATTATTCAGCAAAATAAGTGAAAAAACGAAGCGGAATGAGGCATCCTTTCGAACAGAAGTCAGGTAGGTCTTGGCATGTTGAGAATTTGCAGGYTGTCAAACTTGTTTCAATTACAACCAMTGTTTCCATTTCTSTCTGARAAAAGTGCGTATTTWAAAAARATAACTTTTTATGCTTGGCCTCAGTCCTGTAATTGATTTTTGTTGGCACTTGTCAAATTGTGCAGTACTTGYACCTTCAAGAAGTGCMTTTTGCTTCATTTATATCATAATGAAAATCCTTTACTACTGGATGGCATCTTCCTTTTTTTTTTTACCCTTTATTTCACACTGACATTTGGAGATCTTGATCTCGCTAATGTCTGATTTCTTTCCTCTTTCTTGCTTTTTTGGCTTTTTCCTTTTTGACACAATACCTTGTAATCATTATTATCTTAAGCCAACTTTGGATCTATTTTCTTTCTTCAAGCATCTTGCTTTCAAATACAGTGTTAACATAGCCTTGAAAAGGCTATTGAATCAGTCAGTGGCTTTCTATTCTTTTTCTTTCAGTTATTTGGAAATTTATAATGAACGTGTTAGAGATCTTCTCAGACGGAAATCATCAAAAACTAATAATTTACGAATACGGGAACATCCAAAAGAAGGGCCATATGTTGAGGGTAAAAMCACTTTCATTGTTTTACACTGCATATTTTATCATCTTCATATATTTTAAAATGTAGTGTCTAATTTCACTGGRCATTTTAGCTTTTAAAGTGTATGCTAAAAATACAAATTATGATAGATGCAGTGCTTTGCTTTGGTAAAAAGCATTGAAGGAGTAGCTTCTCATTTTRCATCTCTACTTGTTTTTCCAACCTGAAATTATTACAGAGTTTTTTATCTGTAAATTTATAACACATTTTTATGCAATGTTAAGAGATGCAATTGGTTTTAATAATTTCTTGACTATAATTTATAAATCTTAGATGTTTAGATGAAACAAAAACCTGTTAGGATCTAATTGTCTTAATCTGTTCWCTACCAAGGAAGGTTCATATGTCTTGTGGGATTATGCTCGTGTTACTGCRCTAAATAATTTAGTAAGATTTCACTTTTTTTCCCTTTTTACTGTAAATGTGTAAGTTGTCCATTGTTCATATGAGGCACCATTCCTTTYCTTAAGTGTTAAACAAACATGACAATAAACACTAATTTAAACAATAGCTTGAAGTAGTGAGGGTAATTTGAATCTTTTTATAAAGAAAATTCAGGGCATGTGTGAACATACTGTAACACTTTGCTTTTCTTCAGACTTGTCTAAACATTTAGTCCAAAATTATRCTGATGTTGAGGAACTTATGGATGCAGGAAATATAAATAGGACGACGGCTGCAACTGGAATGAATGATGTCAGTAGCAGGTCACATGCCATTTTCACAATCAACTTCACTCAGGTAACAAAACAAGACTCCTTAGAGAGATTGGACATGTTTCCTCAGAGCATAGTGATCTGTTTGTTTACATGTAGTAAACTCCTTTTCTAATGACTCCTGCTCTTCATTGTTATCTTGGGGTGCTTTTTAGAAAACCCATGGATGACCTGCTAGATTAAGAGAAGGTAGTGTAGASGTGGTTTCTTCTCCTGTCAGAATTTGCATGTCTCCCCCCAAAACACACACCCCCTCCCATGCACCTACTTTTTACTAATGATGAGTTGTTCATTGCACAACGTTCAGAAGAGGATGAAAGGCACGGCAGCAGAAGTTTTTGTTCTGTTGTATGGTAAAAGAAGAAGATTTGAAAGAGCACAATCTGAATTGATTTATATGAAGTAAGATAAAAATTGGGTGGAAGGCTCAGTTAAAATCATAAAATTTTGATTTCTACTTACCTGAACCTGGAGAAAAGGGAGAAATTGAGTGTAAATTTGTCTATGTATTCTATAACTTGTTGAAATGTAATATAAATGTTGCAAGCTTATTAAAATGAATACAGCACCTCGTCACTGCATCATGTAAATTGGAACTCTGTGTTGCAGCTTGTCTGTAAGGGGCTAAAAAGTTGCAAATATTACGATTTAAAGAAATAATATGTGAGTTATCCAACAATTCATTATCAAATGTCTTTCAGTGGCACTCTAATACACCTGCCTTCTCAAACTGTGATATTGTAAACAAGTTAAATTTAGTCATGTCATGAACTGAGGTTTTGAAGGCTGCTGAAGTTGATTCAGTAAAAGTGCAGTATTTCATAGCTTAACATACTTTTCTTTTACTTTTTCTCTTCTGTAGGCTAAATTCGATTCTGAAATGCCTTGTGAAACTGTTAGCAAGATTCATTTGGTAGATCTTGCTGGAAGTGAGAGAGCAGATGCCACTGGTGCCACAGGGGTTAGATTAAAGGAAGGAGGGAATATTAACAAATCTCTAGTTACTTTGGGAAAYGTAATTTCTGCCTTAGGTAAGTCTCTGGTTTTTGTCTTTGTCTTGAGGTGATTTTAGTCATGAAATGCCTTTGTGTTTACTTACACAAATAGTGGCCTTACATTTTTTGAAAATGAATGAAAAGACATAATTTAATTTTTGCTTTCTACCTCCTTATCACAGCTGATTTATCTCAGGATGTGACAAATCCTCATTCAAAGAAGAAACAAGTATTTGTGCCTTACAGGGACTCAGTGTTGACTTGGTTGTTAAAAGATAGCCTAGGAGGAAACTCTAAAACGATAATGATTGCCAGTAAGTGTTTTAAATTTACTCTTTTTGAATTCTAAATTGTTCATGCTTAATGGGAGTGGATGTAAATATTTAGATTCCAGATGTTTTGTTAAGGCAGAACATGGTTTATACATATTAATGGTGTCTTTCTTTCTGAGCTTTCTAGTAACATGGTCTTTTACTTAGACTCTGCAGAGTGTAATTAAAGTTTTGTTCATCTGGTCAGTACTGGTGGGTGAATCAGTTGCTGTTTCCAAACTCTGCTGATTTTTGTTGCATTAGTAACAACCTAGTCTCTTTTGGCATCCTGTGGCTAAGACTGTCACTTTTATTTAACCTACTGAATGCACACAACATTTTAAGTTTTTGTCTAAATTTAATTATGATGAGTTGTCTTGCAAACTCTTATGGCTTTCTTTTTACCTGTAGGAAGCTCTGTAAGGATCATTGAGTTTAAAACCCTACTTATGTCATATGCTTAAAAGATCATTTAGTTCCATCCCTCCTGCCATGGATGGGGTCATCTCCCACTGGACCAGGCTGCTGAGAGTTCCATCCACCCTTGCCTTGAACACTTCCAGGGATGGGGCATCCACAGCTTCTCGGGGAAACTGTTTTGCTGGTGGGTAGGGTCAGAGACACAGACATCAACTTAAGGAACAGTGTAAATTACTATAATGCAAAACTGCAAAGAATCACAAAAGAATAAGCTAAGCAAAGCACATAATCATTAGCAAAAAATTACAAAAGGTTAAGCTAAGAAGTGTACCTAATCATTACTATGAAAGAATGCCTATAGTGATTAAGAAAGATATGTCACCAATACCCTAATAAAGGTATATCATCCAAGTCTGAGAGACATCAGCTGTGGGGAGAAGCTGCCACAGGGAAGGACTGGAGAATCACATCTGGTAATTGGGAACTCCTGCATCCCCCACTTTGCTGTGACAGTGGCCCAGTTTTTATAAGGTTAAACAAACAGGCTGACATAATTTCTCATTTCATTCTTCCTGTTGGTTTCTCCCAAAGCCTGGCAAGGGCTCAAGGAGGAACCAAAGGAGTTGTCTTTGATWGTATACAATCCTAATTAGGCCAGTTGTGGCCTTATCTGTTTTCTAGATATAGAAAGGTAAATATATGTTTTGCCAATAAATGAGCACATGCAATATTACTCTGTAAATGAGCAAAGGCATATATAGTATTAGGTTGGAAGGTTCATCTATATGTCAACTTTGGCTCAGGGCCTGTTGTTGAGGCCTTAGTACTTCACTGTTTCAGTATCTCACCACCCTCTGGRTAATTTTGTCCTAATATCTAATCTAAATCTCTTCACTTTTAGCTTAAAACCATTTCCCATCCCAGGATACGGCTGACTTTCTGGGCTGTGAGCACAGACTGCTGGCTC